CATCCTTTCTTCGTTGTTACAGGACCCCCCGCGGCGATACCTAGACCAAACCTTAAGGCGAGACCTAAAGGGCTTCTGGTACGGTTTTGACTGCGCCCTGCAAGAAGGCGCTTTCAACCCTGGCCCGAGCATCCTGCAGCTGAGGGTCAACCAAACGTTGGAGTTCGAGGTCATTGACGAGCCGAAGAACGTCAAAGCCACGGGTGTCCGGTTCATGGGGTCGGCCAAGACAGCTTGGGGTACCTTTTCGAAGTCGACGGCTACGTTTTGGAGGTTAGAGTTCGTAAACTCGCAACAATATCTTCTTTGCGTCACATTATATGGTGCCTTGACAAGCAAATAGGCAGGACAAACGCTGCAGACGTCATTTCGAAACGTCCTACGAAGGTCCTTGTCAATCGAGGGGCGAGCATATTGTACAAGCAAGCGAGCAGGGTGCTCTTGGTTTCTGTGCTTTCGTATGGGTGTGAAGCCTTTGCATTGCGGTTCGAGCGGCAATTGATTGAAGCTTAGCTGCCAACGCATATCATTGCAAAATCCGAGAATTCCCTCGAGCGAAATTGACCATTCAAAAATTACACATGCTTTGAAGCTCCAGTGCTAAAACCTACAGGTAACTCGTATTTTGGAGGCTGACCACCAAATCATAATCCACACCGTCCCTCGCATGGACTCCTTAGATGACGTGGACTTCCTGACATTTACACTCCAAATAAATGAGCCAATTATGAGAATAAGGCATCGCTAGAGGCACTCCAGTTGCTGCAGCACTGAATGTTAGAGGAATGAGAAACTTGCTCATTATGTTATTCATGCTTTGACATGAGCGTTCTTTGGCGCCTTTGCAGGTCAAAGGCTTTGCTGGCAGGTGCGACGGGAGCCTGTACGAACCCTCTGGAGCGGTGCGGATAGAGCGCCGTTACCCTTACTATCCCAAAAAACTCTCGTACAGCTACAGCGGACACTTGGACTCAACCGGCATGCACGGGCTCTGGCGGCGGTCCGACAGCAAGACCGGAAGCTGGACCTTAGCTCCGGTTTTCTTTATCCCCCTGGACTCCTTTGACGGTGAGTTGTCTGAATCGCTGTATGTGCTTGACAGGTTAACCTCGGCTGTAACCCACTTAAGGTCCAAAAGCTGTCGGCCGACAGAAAGTACGTTCTCGAATCGTTTTCAGCGGGGACCGCGGTTGGTAGCACTTCTATGTTCACGCTTAGAAAGAGAAAGCAACCGCTTGAACGAGCCTCGAAGAATAACAGGAATTATCATTTCTCGTATGGCTCTCATGAAGAGCCAATGGTAGCTCCATTTCGCGCGTTCGAAACTACCAGACCAAAACCTAGATTCTTGAGATCCTTGCCTTCGCTAGATGGAAGACGCTTTTTGTCCTATGAAAGCACGAAGTAGCTCACTTCTGAACAAAACTCCCCAGTTTATGCTGGGAGGCAACCCTTGTTGGCCGCATGATTAATTGACCAGCTATCGTAGTCTTGAAGGGGAGTATATCTCGATTAAGGTTGTGTTCCTTCACTGAGCTTCCACATTCTGACGTGTGCTCCTACTGCTCGTATTGAGCCCTAGTCGATCAAACTTTTGCAGACAACTGGACGTTCACAGAACGGGAAACCCACTTCAACGAGTCGCACAGGAGATGGATCCTCCCCGCGGTTCCTAAGGTGCTTGATCCGGAGAGTGCCCATCTTGCAAAGCGCATAGATCCGAAGCTCGTGAAGGGCTCGTGGCTGGGTTACCTACTCCCAAAAACGACGTGCGAGAAGGACTTGAAGATGGACCTAGTTTGTGACCTCAACAGGAGCTGGTGAGATCCAACGGGAATAAGGAGCATGCGCGCATAAATCTGCTCGCTCCCAGCCAGTCTACAGTAATAGAGTGCTCTTGTGAACACATGTTATCTCATAACTTCTCGGCTGTCGTACGAAATGGGCGACGAGTCAGATCAAATGATTTAAAAGGACTGCGTAGCCTTGCCCGGGAAAGCTTTCAACCCTTGTCTTCCCTCTTTCCAGATATTGCGGATGCAAGTCTGCAAGTTCAATTTCTGGAATTCTTATTGTTCACTTAACAATAGGGGCTGCCAAGAGTTTTGAGGCCTTGTATCTTGCCAACAAGATGCAGAGGAGGTGCAGATGTGGCTAGGACGGACGGCCGGGGCAGCCTTAGGTCCTACTCTATAGATTTTTATACAGCCTCCTGGTCGCTTGACCAAATATGTCTGCAAACGGTGCGAACAATCTGAAAGCTAGAACCAGCCGCGTGACCAAGGATCAGTTGCGCAACCGTAAATGCAAATCAATTCCCTTGTATCTTCGTTTTGAACTGTAGCGGTTTTCCCCGTTGGTTCAATGACCTTCAGCTCAACCAAAACCTGTATGCAAGGAGGTTATCCGCCAAACCAGTGATTTGGACTGAAAGGACACCCCTACAGAGAAACATAGGTGATGCAGCAATGAGTTCTCTCTTCAGGGACGAGCTGGACGACTCGGATTCGGAAGACGATATTTCGGACGAGGACGACGAGGAAGACGGAGACGAGGACAATGGGGACAAGGAAGAGAAAGGCGAGGAAGAGGGAGACGAGGAAGAGGGAGACGAGAAACGCAAGGAAGAGAGACGCGACGAAGAGAGAAACGAGGAAGAGAGAGGCGAGGTTGAGGAAGATCCTGATGACGCAGACCCGGTGCCTAGAGTAGAACCGGAGGTCGCATCCCAACCGGCGGATGAACCGGTTGCGGAGGACGCGGACTTGAAACAGGAGACTGAGGAAGAGAAACTGAGAAAAAGATATGAGATTGAGGAAAAGAACTCGAGAGAAAAGATAAGGGAGGAGGACGACGACGTCAAACGTAAGGTTCCGTCCGTGCCCGTGCCCTCTTTCCCTGCGGGGGACCTGAAGCCGAAGCGGGCAGAGTTGTTCATCGAGGAGTGCGCCCTGACGGGCGGGTGCATTGGCAGGCAGCGCTTCACGCTGACGGGGACGCTGACGCTTTGCAAGGACAAAGTGCTGTATACCTTGGAGGGGTCCCTTCAACAGGTAACTTGGTTACAGAGTCCCCAGCGAGCAAACCGTCTACATCTGAGCAATTCAACGTTGATAGCGAAAATCGGTCGAAGAACGTGAAGAGCTATTTCAAGTCGATGCATAGCCAGAAGGTTGTACTCCCGCAACATTTTTCTTCAACTCTGAGCACAATTGGACAGGATCCAAAAGATTCGAGAGGCGGCCTTGCAGGCGACCTTTACGTAAAAGGATCTTCACGAAACTAAACGGTCCGGTATAGCTTTGTGCTGTTGACAAGGAGTGTTTTCCTCTGAAACTTCTCTCTACCAGCCAACAATAAATGATCAAAGCCACTTGACAAATCTGCCTGCAAATCACTTGTTTGGGAATCAGCATGCCACGTTTACTGAAGTTTTGAAGCGGATAGATGAATATGCGCGTTTTCCTAGATTCATAACACAGTTCCCCACTCACGGGCCCTTAAAGAGTACCTTTGCGAAGACATAAATCTGGTGTTGGTCATTCATTTGTGGAATTTTTCTCCCGTGTCAGGCGCATTGCATCAGTCTTCTTGCTCTGCGTTCCGGAACCTTTTGCTACCAAGCTTGCCCATCATCAAGATCCTATGCGTCCGCAGGTCCCTGCCAAACCCAAGGAGCACGTGTTGTGTCCACACGACTACCCATACCTGGAAAAGGTGGACCTACGCCTTACTCCCGCCAGAACTTGGCGTTCCCCTGGCAGCCGGGAGGGGAAAGGACTGCGCTACCGGGGCCACCTGGATCACCTCGGAATGCACGGGTTTGTGATCGCAGACGACGGCGGTCCTTCGAGCAGCTCACTGGAAAAGCACCACTGGACGTTCGGGTTCATGCCAGTCACGGAGCAGGAAGCCAAGAAGCCAGCGCGATGGTCGTACTTCAGCCGCAAGAAGACCGCGGTTGTGTAGATATGTGGAACCTAGAAGTCTCCGATTGGCAGCGTGTAGTTGTACATTCGTAGAGTTGGTTGCATGAGGTTGCGACAAACAGATCGAGCTGTTAGCATGGCAAAGTGTGTGACTCCACAACAAGTCTCGTATAGACTTGTTGCCTGGTTGTGAATAGCATGTGTAGGAACATGCAATCAGTGTCAATCCTCAGGATACCCTGAATTGCCGATAGCATTATGGATTCGATTTCTCACTTCAGACTCCGAGTTCGTTGCACTACCACTGTAAGTTGCTAAATCATTGCGGTCGGGTGCGTACTGTAAGACCTGGAACTTGATCGAAGTAGAACCTGAAAAGTGTTGACCGGTACGTAGGCTTCTGCAAGCCTGAATGGACCACCGGTGGTTTCGGGCAGAATGATGATTATGCATGGGTGCAGATTACCATATGCGCATGTCAGGCCAGTGCCACGGTGGTCATAGTTATGTTTATAATGCGCATGATCTGTCAGCAAGCGCACTGTCCAGAAGTTGGCTTGTGCATGCTTTCAAGTCACATGTTTCCTGATCGGTTCAAATTGCATATGAGCCAGAAACCTAGCGTTGCGACCAATCAGATCCGATCGATCATAGACTGACTTACGAAACTTATAATCAAACAAAGCTTTGGCGCGTGCAACGGCCAACACATCATTCGCTCAGGTAGTGAGAAGCCTGTCGGACGACGCGTGCCAGTGCCAATTATCGAAAAAGTGGATTGGCCAATTTATCGGGCCATGCAGCAGAGGCAGACCTGCATGCCATATGATGAAAGCAGTTCTTCAGGAAGCTAGCTCGCTTATAATAAGGTATCCCAACATACAATACACGACTGGTCCAATCAAATCGCTCGACTGCTCAGTAGAAATCAGTAATTGGCCGCTCGCGTGCACGCAATTTCTACGCTATCACTATTTTATGCTCATGACGACCGCGGGCGGCTTACTGGCGTTAATGTCGCAGTTCACGTATGGAATGAGTACGTGTGTTAGTCAGTAGTAAACTCGTGCACCTCCACCTCCTCTTCCGGCGGCAGCGGCGCAATTGCCGACGACCGTTTGGACGCTCGCGCGGAACCCGCCTTACTCTCCCGCCACGTCTCCTTCCGCCCGCTTTCCGCTCCGCTCCGCTCCGTTCCGTTCCGCCCAAGGTCTGACGGCGACCGGCAGGACCCGTCCTGCGAGCTCCGCCCTTGGCCCGGTTCGAGAAACGGGTCCCCGGTCAGTGACTCCCGACCGGAGCGGTCTCCGTTCTGCGACTCTCTCCCGTTCAAAGACTCTCTTCCGGACTGTACTGATTCTCTACCCGACCGATTGGACTGTCTGTACTTTCCTTTAAGAGGAACCACCCGGGGCTCTTCCCCGTCTTCTTCCCCCGACGACTCTCCCCCACTGCGAGGGGAGGCGAGGCCTGGCCGGGGGAGGCGTTTCTTATCCTTGAAGGCCGGGTGTAAATAGGCGTCTTTGACAAAGCTGATGGGGTCGACGGAGTCGGCGCGAGCCCAGTCGAGAGTGTCTTTCGTCATTGCACTCTGTAGGAGAAGAGCAGACCAAAGTCATTCGTGCAAATCGGTTTGTGGGTTGGACTGTGAAGGAAGTCCGCAGCTTTCAGGAGGGGAGCCACAAATATACGTACAGTTCTGGAAGCTGGATGGGAAAAACTGGCCGTCATATTGGCTTATCCGTGGCAACAATCAGCCAAACAGATTGAAGAATGTCAAAGACGATGAGAACGGGACTCCAGAACGAGCATCGGGCCATTGAACATGCATGGCCAATAGCGAAGACTATTAATGTTGAAGGAAGGTTCTATCTTTTGGCCTGTATGCTTTTTTTGCGACGGATCAGAAAGCGGTCAACTCTTCATCTTGCAATCCCCACCAGAATCGACCCGTGCGGCACACGGATCCTTCCAGTTGCTCTGCTTGACCCTTTTGAAGAAATCAGTTCCTTTCTACCTCTTCAGAAACCAGTTCTGCATAAGATGATTCCTTCGGACGTCCACTTTAGAAACCACTTTGCACGAGCCATTATGCAGTCTGGGATCCGAAGAAAGTAGAAAGTAGTTGACGACAAAGATCGCAACAGAAACCCGTAAGGATGGCGTCCTGGGAGTTTTCCTCTGACGTCAGCCAACAAAATGGCTGACGTCAAGGGCGTCAGCCGGCGTCAAAGGCCAAAGCTCACCTCAATCGAGTACCGGGCGAACGACGGAAAGAAGGCGTCTTTGCACCACCGGTTGAAGAGGAACGTGAGCACGGGGAGCGGGAAAAGGAACGGCGTCTGCTGCTTCGCGTCTTTGAGGATGAACACGCCGATAAGCGTGATTTGCATGACGTAGAGGCACGTCACGATACGGCTGTGGATGTACGGCCAGAAACTGCGGAGTGGAAGATCGGAGGGTTGTCAGTGTATGGAAAAAATTGTCAAAGGGGCCACTTTTAGATCAGCATGACGTAGAGGCACGTCGCGATGCGGCTGTATTTGTAATGCCAGAAGTTTCCGAGAAAAAAGTGGGACAGTTTTCGATGACCAAGGAAAGGAGCAACGACGCTCAGTAATTCACGGCGGTGAGCTTTTAGGAGCTAAGAACTCGGAGTAATAATCAACTAGAAGCTCTTAGAGTGAAGGACCATTGAAAAGGGAGCAACAGCAGTCTGTAGTAACACCGAAAAAAGGTGGACTTACTAACGAAGACTGCAGCTGCTTTTTGAGAGCGTCCGAGAAGGAGAAAACATTGCCCACAACCCGGTTCCATTGAATGTTTCGTAGGACCTTGATCACGTCAGAGAGAAACGATTGGCGTCAGCAACATAACAGCAAGCGAAAGCCGTTGCTCTGCCCTCCGTACTTCAGCTGGCGAGCTGATCACGGTGAATCACGGAGCTTAACCGGAAGCGTTCCGATACATTACGAATATTGATGACGCAGACTGACGTCACAAAGAAGAACTTGTCCTGAAAACGTAGCTGCTGCTTTTAGAAGCTTGAAACGACGTACCGCCCATTGCTCTCGTACGCCCGCTCGTAAACGTTGATGATCTGGTTACGGTAGACCACGTAGCCTAATCCGAAATGGATGAAGATAAACGGTAGCAGCAGCGGCGAGACGCATGAGTAGACCAGCCCAATGAGTATGTAGAACAGCAGGCTGGGGACGACGGTTTCGTAGATAACCGGGCGCAGGTTTAGCGCTTGAAACCGGTCCTGCGAGTTGGATTCTGCCCGGTTAGTCACTCTTGGTTACGCCAACTGAAAATTAAAAAGGATCTGCAAAGTCCGTGATCCTTTTGGTTCCTTCTGCCGAGGTGAATATGCAGGTGAACATCAGGACAACTGAGCGCATATTGAGGGCTTGAACCGGTCCTGCGAAGTAGAGTTCGTGCTCTTTAGTCGATCCCGAGAAATCGGATCAGATCCTTCCGCCAAATGACGAGGTCGAACTCGTCATTTTCTAATCAGTTCGGCCTGGTGGGCGCTGCAGAGAATCAAGGATAACAAGCTGAAACCAAACGTAAGCAACAGAGCGCACGTACAGGGCTTGGATCCGTCTCAGAGAAGCGCCGAAGTGCTCGCTTAGCTCCTCTCGTTGACACGGACCGTTGCGTCAACAAATGGACATTTGAAATTGCGTGTGCAAGGAACTGGGCGCAGGATCAGGTTTGATCAGCGGTCATGGTCGTCTTACGATTTGGGAAGAAAGCGCTATGGTGCTCTACTTTCTCACCTCCGCGGTCCGCACGAGCAACGCCATCCGTAGATGGTACAAGATCAACGGTATCAGTTGCAGGATCTCAGCGCTGGAGCCCGCCCAGCCGTCGACCATGATGTAAGTGATGAAGAACGTGCTCTGCAAAAGTGGACGATGAGTATCTCAGAAACGACCACTGCAAAATCAGGACACTTGTTTTTAGCCTTCAATGCATTTCAAGACCGATCTGAAACAGAAGACTCTCTGTCGGAAAAGAGAAGACCTTTGAAATTGTGAAGGGTGCTCAGAAGACTTCGTGTACTCCTTGATCAGTGCGTTGAGGATCTGGCGTTCTTCCAGAAAGTGAACTGGAACCTGGCAAAGGGATCGAAGTAGGCTCGAAACGTGGTCGTGCAATCCGCAGAATGTGCGGAAATATAAAAGTGTCCTCTCCTTGTAGACAAAAGTGCGCGCCGGATTTTTGAGCGGCGTTCGGCGGCCGCGTCTCGCGGGCGCACCTAATTTAACTGCAGCTAGTAGCGCTTTGAAGAAAGGGGGGCAACCAAGAGTGTGCTCTATAAGCCAGAATACTCCGTCAGGATATGAGGTGCGACTTGCCACCGCTGCCAGGAAAGCGACGCGGGGGCAGAAGCTCGAAGCGCGCGTTCCATGCTTCAACAAATCCACAATCGTGTTAACATCTTTGAGGCACTGCAATGGAGCAGCTTCGTGACAAAAACCACTCGGAAACCCGACGAGCATTGATCCAGCCCGCACCAGCCTATAGCGTCACGGGAGATACTCCACACAATCTCTGTCAAACTTTGATAAGGTTGACGACACGTAGTAGCTGGAGCGATGAAGTCTTCGCTTGGTTAGGATTGAAGTCAACAGAGTCCCTGCGTTTCACAATAACCTTGTATCTCAGAATAAGGTTTCTGGGTGCCCCATGAAAAGGAGTGGCCTTCGCTGGCAATTACGATAACGAGTCGGCATACGAGGGCGCTGAAATGGTTTGAAGGGTTGTCCAAAGGCGGCCGCGCGCGCACCTTGGCCGGGATCGCGGCTCCGAGCGCCTTGGGAATGTTTTTGGGCTGAGAGAAGAACAGGTTGAGCTGCTTGAACAGACTACCCGTCAGCACGGAACCGAAGAACCCGTTGATCACCTGCAGAGCGGCAGAGAAACGACGTCAGCCGAATGCCTAGTTGATGCTCTCTGTCGCTCGGTGGCGAAAGCTCTGATTCACATCCTTGTCCAAGCGCACCTGTGCCTATTTGTGTCGACAATCGAATTCGTTGTTAATGTCTGTTTACGTGCGCTGTCTGTTGTTTAGACTGATCTGCACTTTGGAGTTCAAGGCTTGTGCTTTCTGGTTCTTTCAGATCGAGCGACGAGCCGCACTCACGCCTCATAAGATACATCAAACGAAATTCGGACGTACCAGAAGCTCAAGCTTAGCGACGCTCGGCTTCTTACAATTCTGCAAAGCGTTTGCAGAGCCGCTTCTCTTACCAGGAACATAAAGAGCTTTCCCGCCGCGACTCGCGCTAAGTTGCTGTTGCTGATGTGGCCCTCAATTTTGGACAGTATCATAAGTATCCCGGGAAGAAGCATAAGGAACAGCTTCAAGGCGAGGCCCGGAAGAAAGCCCTGTAGAAATTGGCCAATTCCTGGGCTGCAAAAGAGCCAGAAGTGGTGTCAAGGACGCGCTCAAGCACTTTACAGGATCTTTTCTGACACTCAATCGACGGAACCGTGAGACATGGATTTCGAGCAGGGGCATGAGGAGATTCTAGAGCGAGACTGGAGGGCAAGCCTTGAAGGTATCGGAATCCTCAAGCGGACGGGCAGTTTTCAAAGAGCAACTATGCGGATTGCAGAAACAGAGTGCTTTTAAAGACGACCCTACTACTCGGCGGGGACCGTGCCCCAAGCGCTCTACGAAGTGCACCCACTCCCTTCAAGCGTAGTGCTGCAGGACTGTGCCCTTATTGGCTCAACGCAGCATGACTGAAAAATGGTCGAACTCAAGTATAAAGCCCGCCACGTTGCGCTGCCCCTAACCAGCCAACCGGTCTTCTCCAAATCTCTTGAGCTCCCCTCTGGCTGATCAAGAACCAACTGCAATAATCTCAATGCGAAGGATGACGAAATCAGCCCAGGCCATGAGCGTGTATACGAAATGACTAAACCCCGGGCCAAGAGGATCACGACATTGCTTATGTCAGCAGACTCCAATAACAACCTCCTCGAGGCCAGACTATAAGAAACATGAAAACGAAGTGCAGATAGTGTATGGTTAGCGGTGACCCACCAGGTCGCGATGGCCCTAACCCACGATCCCGTCTTCTCCAGGTTCTTGAGTTCCGCCAGCGTTTGCACGAACACGACCGGAATCATGTAGAAGAAGCACAGCCAAAAGACGGCGGCGGTTACGGCGAGCTCCCGCACAAACAGGTGGTGCGGCGGGATCGCCAGGTTGGGCCAAAACACGTCGCGCGGTTCCGGGGCCCATTCCGTTTTCCATGTCTGCGGAACGGAACGGAACGGAATAGAGTCAATCGCGTGACCAGCTTGTAGGGTTTGATATGTGAAAGTATAAGCAGGTGATGCGGCGGGATCGTCAAGTTGGGCCAGAACACGTGGGGCGGGTCCGGGGCCCATCCCCTTTTCCAAGTCTGCGGACGGAACGGAATGTAACAGAGGTAAGTTCGCGAACTAGCTAGTAGAGTGTGCGATGTGCATGGGGTGGGGCAGGATGGCCAGGTTTGGCCAGAAGACGTCGCGCGGGTCCGCGGCCCATTCCGTTTTCCATGTCTACGAAACGGAACGGAATGGAGTAGACGTAGAACTGGAACCAACTTCTCAGAAGTAGAAAGAAAGATTCTAAGGAGGTGGTCCGAAGATTGCCAGGTCGGGCCAGAGTTACCGCGTCGCGCGACTTGAGAGGCACGTTTCGATCTTCAAACTTGCGGAGAAGAACGGACCGAGAATCGCAGATGAGATGGCGAGGCCAGTTCGAAAGAGTGGGATTGAAAGATTCACAAAGTTGGCTGAAGATCCCACCAGATTGAAACAAAGTTCGTCGCGCGGCTCCGAGACGGATGCCCTTTCCCTCACCCCTGGCACGGAATACGCAAATCAACGGAATTGCCGTTGGTGAGTTTGGCAAGATTGGGGCGGAACACGTCGCTTCTTGGGAATAATGTTCGTCTTCCGCACATGGCGCGAAACGAAACGGGGGGATAGACAAGGCTTCCTTGCTTCGAAGCTTCGCTCTGGTGAGGCGAGCAGTAGTATCGGCAAAACGCGAAGAACGCAGGTCCTTGCCAGATCTGAAAGGATATCCTCTGCATTCGAACCAAGTAAATCTTGCCCAATGCGAGTTATTCCAACATACCGCTCATTTCTGGCTATTTCTAACCTCACCTGCGGGTTTCTTGTTTGCTGAGTTTGTGCGGCAACCGCGGCCCCCCATCGGCTCTTGAAGCTCACAAACGCAGTGGGCATAAGCGCGTGCTTCTTATGTAGGAGAGCCTCCTTCTCCTTCTCGATCAGAGCGTTCAACCGGTCGCGTTCCTGGAATAGGACAAGGGTTGCAACGTTCAAATCATTCAGCTCAACAGTACTAGGGCTTTATAATTACAAGTACAATTTCGATCAGAGCATTCAATCGGTTGCGTTTCTGAAGTAGGACAAGGGTTACGAACATTCATGTTTCAGCTGGACAGAACCAGGGCTCTAGAATTGCAAATCAGACAAGTGTAAACGATGCGAGGAGGGGGAGAAAACGGCAGAATGTTTCCGCCGGTCTTCTGAGCGGCTTCTTTGACCAGGCGCCAATCAGCTCCTCGAGTTCTGATGGAGTTCGCGCAGTTCTTTCAAAACGTCAAACACTGGCGATCAGAAAACGCTGGTTTCCGTCGCCTATTCTTCCTCTTATACAATTGGTCTGCGTAAAACCTTGCCATGGGTTTCAAATAATCTAAACGTGGTTCCTTAGCTTCGGCCTCCGATATAGTTGATTGGACGCTTCAAAAGTAGGAACCATGCTGGGAGCGGGTGAAACCTCATGGCAGGTTTGACGCAACGAGCTGTTCGTGCCATTTCACGATTCTAATGAAAGCTGACTTGTGCCTTGCTGGCCCGTTCCACTCATCCCGGTAAACTCCTCTCAGGAACTTTACAAGCGATTAAATAGAGCTCGAAATGGTCGGAATCCCCACCCGGGTGAAATGATCCAGTGCATCCACCTCGTGTCCGTAGAGCCCTAGAAATCCCAGCTTCTGCCGGGGGCGCTTCTCGGGGTTCCGCGCGTGCACGATTTCCGCGCCCTCCAATCTGGACGGAACAGCGGAGTCTGGATAAGAATTGCAGTACGTATGAGGCGGATTAAGGATGAAGGCGGACATAAATAAAATCCGAAATGATCAGGGAAGAGGAGGGAGTGACGTATGAGGCGACTAAGGAAAAATGAAGGAGTCAGGACACCAAGAAAGTTTCTTCTAACTTCCAAAGGAGGAAGGAACTAAAAGGGATAGCTCTCGAGGTGCGTCGAAGTCGGTTCAAGGGAGAAGTCCATACGGAACTTCAGGACCCACTTGCTTCGTGGCAAGAAGACGACACAATTTGTCTGTTGGACAGGCAAGAGCAAGCTGCGAAAAATGAGTTCATGGTGAAGGTTTTGGCAAAACGTTCATAAATGCTGGATTCATACGCTCAGCCAGTGATGATTGACCGGACCACCAGCCTACTATATCGAAAAACCGGAAAGCTGCAGTATGCTGCCAGTTAATTTAACAGCACTGGAACAATGAATCACATTCCCTTTTCTGTATGCTCCATGAGCCGTTTTTCAGACGCTCACTTGTTCAGCGCTTTGTCCCGCTGCTTCTTCAGATCTTCCAGGTGGTTGGCGTCGACGACTACGCGGTGGGTCAGATACGTATGGGGATGCTGCATAAGAGTCGTTTTCGAAGTGGATATACAGCGGCAGGATGGAAAGATCAAGCTCCGCTTATCTGGCGATCGAATTGCTTCTCGAATTGAAACTCAGATGAGAATCAAGTTTCTCGATTCAAGTCAGAGAAAGCGTGCAAGTGAAGCTGAAAGTTCTTGAAACAAGTGCGCCACCAAAGGGCCGGGATACAAGCTGCACAATCCCCCCTGAAAATGAATGGCCGGGAGACCAGAAAGGCAATGAAAGTGGAGAGAGTTGGAAGGTCAAAATGCTAAACCGCCTCCGCTTGAGAAGCGTCAGCATCGAGCATTGGAATCCAAAGCTGTCCGCAATTTTGCGTGAAGGACCGACGGTCGAGGAACTCCATTTTATGTGAAGTGGAAACACCAAATCCGAAGAGTATTCACACCAGCCTCACCTGAACGGTGAAGAAGTGCTCCACGTGCTCGCTGATGGTCTCCGTCGCGCTCGGGGGAACCTGCCTCGTCAGCACTGTGAACTGGTCCGGGGCGCGCTTCGCATCCGCCAGGTAGCTGTGGCGCATCTCGCTGATCTCCTTGTATTCTTTCCAAAGCAGCCAAAATGCGTAGCCGCTGATGAGGTATACAGCTATAAGGTGCGCCCAAAGCCTGGAAAGGATAATCTTGAAAGTGTTCCGAAGGATTTGAAATGGAGGGAGGAAGTTGCGGCTGGCGGCTGACCGGTTGCCCTCGTTGTCGAGTCCAAAGCCTTTGAATAGCAAAAACGACCAATAATATCGCTCGAAGAAACGCTCTCTAGATTTCGGCTGTAAATCAGAAGCTCTTGGGAAAGTATTCGAACTGTTTAGCACACTGTTGCGTCTGACATTGTCGGCAGCACAAGATGGATTCTAATGTAATTCAGAGGGTCGATTTGTAGACGTGGGAGAAAAGCTAGCTCAAAATCGTGTGAGCCGTCGTCTAGCATGCTGTGGATCTTGGAGATGGACGTGAAGGACCATCCTGCTCTGGATCCTACACTGGAATCTTATGAGCTAGGACAGTCTTGAACTTTTTGAGTCCCTTACACAAAGATTCTAGAAAGATGTTGCCCTTCGACTAGAACATCCTGACTTCAGAGAGTTTTCGTTCCAGCAGGGAACAGATATTGCATGTACTTACCTCTTGGATCCGAGGCTGACATTGGCCAGAGACAGCTTGTCAATGCCCTCATAGTTGATCTTGCCCTTGTGTAGGGTCAGGAACTTGTCGGTGGCGTTGATTGGCATCAGAACGAAGAGGCCAATGACGGAGCAGAAACCAAAGAGCTTGATACTGCAGAGAAGTACGAAAAAGCGGACATGTTTAAACAGGCTGGATTATTTTTTAATCAGTGTCGATTTAGATTGTTTAGAGAAGCTCAGCAAACTCTTTACGTGGAGAGATGCAGAGTCCTTCCTCATCACCGATTGAGGAATGACTGGAGCAAGCACCTCCATCCCCATGATGGAACGTGTTAAATGGCAGAGGAAATGCTTGAAACATTCTGAGAGGGCTAAACAATGCTGAAGCCTCTCAGATTATATCTGAGCTTGAGGATTTTCGAGTGGTCAACGGACTAGACCATCAACTCAGTGGCAAGCTTGATTCGCAAGCAATTTTGCGGAAATGCAAGCGGCATTAGCCTAACCATCAGTATACCAAGAACTTAATTCACCTTAGGATGAAGAGCCTCATCAGCACCACCGCATCCAGCCCCGCAATCCCCAGGAGGTCATCCTCTGGCAACACAATGGCCTTCTTCAACCAGGCGGCCATAGTCAAGTATTCCAGTGGGTTTATCACTAACCTCCCGCTCTCTGTCCTCCCAAAGTCCTTGGTCTTTATGTACTGGCGAGTGAAGTACACTCTGGCATTGAAAGGCTGTTTGCTGAACATCGAGTACAGGGTCAAGAACAGGGTCACCAGCCCCATGTTGATCCCCATGCTCGTGAGAAGATCGCTGATCCCAGCCATTTTGCCAGCTAGTCAGGGCGCAGCCACGAGCAGGCAATGCTATGAATTATGATGCTACAGCTTATGATGCATCATAAGCGCATCGGCGCAGCTTACTTCTGCTACCAGCCAGCTTGCCCCATATTCGAGGAAGTTTCTAAGAGAAGGTGCGAGTGGACTCAGCTCAGATCAAGCTGGGACTTTTCTTACAGCTCGTTTCAATCCAGCTGGCTTATGAGGTGACCCTTGAAGCATGCCGTAAGCTACGAAGGCGGGGTTGAGATTCTTGTGGCGTAATCAGAGCTTAAGAGAGCACTGACAAGCAGCACCGCAGTTGTTGTTGTTTGCAGTGTGAGTTGGGTAGCTGATGCGGTTACTCGCCACTCAGGTGTTCTGAAAGGTTTTTGAGACCTCAAAGCTGTTCTTTGCTTTGGCTGGACAGTGCTCTGTCATATTGCAATGCTCGATCCTGCGCCGTTTCCGCTGCCTGGCTGCTCAGAGGCATGCATTCAGCCATGCTTCAGAGCTTTCTCACAGATACCAAGCTGCTCACAATGGTGCAAAAAATGGGCTTCAATGCGCATCTTCTGAGAAAGATTGAAAGATCCTCTTTTTCACTCTTCAACTCTTCAGATTGCTGCTCACCTTTTCTTGCTGCATCAATTTTCTGGGAGCCACAAACCGTTGCAGGGTCAAACAGAACGACGCCAGGGCAAGTGTTTTTCTGCAAGTCTCAGACTGTCTCATCTTCACTGACAATGACATCAGACACACAAATCTCAGAGTGTCAAATCTCATGGTGTGCATGAGTGTGCACGACCGCTCGACAACCACCTCCTGTGCGCGCGCCGTAACCCAGGTTTGGAAACCAACCCCGCGTCGAAGACACACTGCAGGACTCCTGAGAACTCGAAACCGCCTCGTAACCCAAAACTGGTGAAGAGAATGTTCTAGATGGTGATCAACATCTTGGGCCTCGAGCCTTGAGCTGAGCTGCTGCAGCCTGCAATTGGAGTCAAGGACGGCTTCACTTTGCAAGTTTTGAAAGAAGAGTTTCTTCTGCTTGTTGGCGGCGGATTTGAACGCCCTCACTTATCTAGATACAAACCTCCCTTTGTCAGCTCGACGTCCGGGGTTTACCTGTCTGGAGAGGTCAGCATCTGGTAACGGTGTGTCTTGCTGATATGGCTCGTGTTTATGTTGGGGGCCTGGACCCCAGGGCAACGGAGAGGGAACTCGAGGACATCTTTGTCAAATTTGGAGTGCTGCGCAGGTAAGTTTCTCGCATAGTTTCCACAGCAGTTGCTACCATGTTCCTGCATACTTTGGTTATTTATGTTTTTGCATAGGCCCACCTCGTGTGATATCAAAGAGAAACAGCAACACCGATAGCACCATTGGCACTTTACCATGCATCGTTAGCAGATTAAAGGTCAATAAAGCTTGGCTTGCTTGCTATATGTTTGTGCTATATTTGTCCAAGCTTGCATACAAGCTTGCAGACAAGCAGAGTGTTGGCCACCAATCCATGCATCTTATCCTTTGCGTCCAAAGGTTCTGTTGATTGGAGCGCATGAAATGCATTCAGAAGCTGTACTGTTGGCTTTTGCGGCTAATTTCAATTTGTTCGACCATTTCTGATCAACGCATTTCGTTTCTGCTATAGCTCCTTTCATGCAAGTCATAGGTCTGCTTCGGAAGCATGTCTACAATAGTAGACGGCAATTGCAAAGGCTTTGGGTGGTGCCTCGGTGTTGGGTGTACAGTAAATGAGGTTGCAACCTCTGTGATGAAGTATGTGCTGCTCCTATCCTGTTCATGTCCCAAGCATGCAATACAGGACCGGTTCGATGGATGTGATTCACATGTAGGTTCGTTAAGCGCCTATGTTTGATGAAAGCTGTCTGCTACTTTTCAGTCTGGGAAAGATTTTGGGATTGGTCGCCGTTGAATCTTTCCTGGAGCGATTAGGAGCATTCGTGTCGCTTTATTGTAGCTAGGAGTCAGGCCATTTGCAAGGGACCCCTGCCTGCAGAGTTCACCCGAAGTTTCAGGATACTAGCATAAGAAGCTGTTTTATTCATTCGCTTCTTGGGAGCGGAAGTGCAAGCTTGGTGATTGAGGTCCTGCTATTTCACTCCTAACAGCAGTGTTTGGTTGGCTGAAATTTGTTTTGTTCACGTCTTATGTAACAGAATCGAGTGATCTTTACTATCGGTCCTGTTTATGCCCCTGTTGATGTGTTGCCACTCTCCCATTGCAGCGTCTGGGTGGCCAGGAAGCCGCCTGGCTTTGCGTTCATTGAGTTCGACGACCCCCGCGACGCAGATGACGCGATCAGGGATCTTGATGGTAAGAAAATCTGATACACCGAGTTTGTTGTTTCAAGTCCGCTTCTCAGGGTCACATTGGCAGTCACTAGCGGATAATGGAAGAAAAAGGTGGTTTGAGCTCATTCAATGCAACCCTGTTGTCTCCCTTGCTGGTTGGACACATTATGCGAGGAGACTATTGTCTTCAGGATTTTGTTTGTATCTAGGTGGTCTCATGGTTGTCTACTGCTTTACATTTGTCAGAGTACGACCAGAGTGGGCCCGTTGTTGAAAGTTGGGTGCATGGTTGTCACTCGTTTTTGATGTAGAAAAGGTTTTCGTTGCTGTAGCAATGCAAATGTTTCTCATGGGTTTGCTGCAGCCATCAGGAGGTGCAGAGTGCATTTCTTCTGCCAACCCTGAGTATGTTCACACCGGATTGGCCTCTCAACCGGTTTGATCACACCTCTTGCCGCCAACAGAAGCTGCGTAGTGTTCCCCTTCTGTTCCACCTTGACTCTTATACACACCCTGAATAGAACACACAATCAAATTCGATGCACATAGACTTCAGTTGTTCAAGTCGAGTAGTCACATGCTGAGTGTATTCACATCTCTTCCCGCAGGGAAGAATGGGTGGCGGGTGGAGTTGTCACGAGCGCGGGACGGCCCTCGCAGGGGGCGCGACGAGGAGTCCAAGTGCTATGAATGTGGGGAGTACGGCCACTTTGCTCGGGAGTGCAGGAATCGTAGGGGTGGGGGTAGGGGCCGGTCGAGGTCCCCTGGCTACCGGCGCAGGTAAGTGATTGGTTTGTCTGGGGGTTTCAGGGGTGGTTAGGACTAGACTTGTTAACGTCTGAAGATGGTGTAAGTTGTGGTTGTTCAAAGGTTGGATTTGAGACATGGTTACCGTGGTTGCCTTCCGTGATTGGATAAACAGAGAAGACTTGCGGGTCCTGGCTTTTAGGTTAGCAGTTAAGGGGTCGTTACGTGCGGCTCTAAACCTTAAGGGCCTTTAGGTCTTGTTTACTCAGAGCTTCAAGGTCTGGTTTGTACAGGGCTATATGTCAAGCATACATTCAATTCTTGGCTCTGGAGGTCCTTTGCTGACGTTAATTGGAACAGAGCATCCATATGCTGTTGAAGTGCTTATCAGCTGCAGCAGCTATCAAACAAGGGCGCTACGCGCACTGGCTATTTGAAGAAGCATCCATGCATGCTGTTTTCCTATGAGCCCTGAGGTTCGTGATGCATTCTGATGTCAGGTCACCTACTGCTTTGGGCAAGTCGGTTTCAGATCTACGAGATTGAAGGTCACTTTATTGGATACTAAAGTATAGGAAAAGGGAGGGACTTTACCTGTGATGTGGAAAGCGGGGAGCAGCAGGAGAAGGGCAGTTCTAATTGTAGTGTGGCTTTTGTTTTGCTCCTCCCATCCGCAACCCTTCTACCTCTGCCATCCCCAACGCCTCCATCCATCATTGCGTCACCGATCAACGTCATTACCATGTCTACCTTTACCCCCGCGCTCATCCCATCTACACCCAACCCACGAGGTAAACCACTAACCTACGTTTTCCTTTTGCTGACGTTTGAGGGAACTCAGTCCCTTTGGGGCACAGGTTCGGTCTGGACCCGGTTACAAACGGGTTACAAAAGGGGTCAGAGTCTCGGTTAGGCACCACCAAGCCCCCAAAGTTAGCTTTTCGGTTAAGCCCCAAACCCGGCACTAACCTGCCCCCCAATACATGTGCCCGCAGTTCTCACCGGTCCCCCAGCCCGGTTTACCGGCGCCGAAGCCCCTCTTATGATCGGTATCGCAGGAGCCCCTCTTATGACCGGTATGAGCGCCGCAGAAGCCCGTCTTATGACCGGTACGAGCGCCGCAGGAGCCCCTCTTATGACCGCGGCCGGCGCTACAGCCGGTCGCCCAGCCGCTAAAGTCCCAATTTGGGCAGGTAGGTGCACAGTGTCTACATCCCATACCTAGTTGCAGCACAGAAACTGTAGGCTTCTCTTTTCTCTCCCTCCCCTGCCGAGTCTCTGCTCGCTAAGTCCCAATCTGGGCAGGTAGGTTCCATTCGTTAATAACTCACTCTTTCAGCGCAAAGAAACCTGGTCTTTCTTACCCAGTTTTTCTTTTCCGAAACTGCTATCATTTGCGAGTATTCTTTTGTTTGAGCAGGGAAGAGTGTTGTTGAAAGAAGCTGAGAGTATGCAGGTTGCTGGCGAGTTTCTGCGGTTCTTTAAGAAGCTCTTTGTAGAGCTGCTAAGACTCCAGGGGCAGGCAAACGTGGTTTTAACAACCGACAGTTCAGCCCCGTCCTGTACACGTCCTGTACATCTTTAAGCCTCCTAGTCGCGAAGTTTCAACCTGGACGAGGGGTAACAATTGCTTCGATTGCTTGATCGAAGTTTTCAAAGGGTTTGAGATTTCCGTTCTTCCCTTTTTTCACTCGAAATTCCTTGGAGGCACGTCAATTCCGTCTCTAGGAATTGTCCCGTTTTCAAGCTTTTATGTGAACGTCAGAGCTTTGTCGCCAGTGAGAACTCCTGGACGTTCTGGTCCCTAAAGAGGGACGACGCATCCAAGTCGCGTTACATCCACTTCGCTGGAGCAACTTACTCATCAGCGCCCCTCCTCTTGTGCAGCCACGTGTCACGTCTCCAGCCCCCCCCGCCGTTCCCGCTCTCCCCCCCCGCGGCGTGACAGGGACGACTCACTCCCCCGGCGTGATCGGGATGACTCGCCCCCGCGTCGCCGTAGAGACGACTCCCCCCCCCCGGATCGCAACGACGACCGGAAGCGCGACGATGGGGATCGCAGGAGCCAAGACTAACGGGGAAACGGGTGGGGTTTCATCCTTATCTGCTGTCATTCAATGCTGTCTGGTTCGTAAGCCAGGAGAATTGTGAAGGCTGCGTTCCTTATCCCAGCTTTTCAGTGTCAAAGTAGGAACCTGTGGTGTCAGTAAGCGTAAATAACCACAGGTGTAAGGTTGTCAAGCGAGGTTTCGATGGTGTTTCGAAGCTGAACCAGGCAAGCCTACGAAGTGAGGGGCCCTCACGCCACCGCAGGTTGATCAAAAACGGACAGCATGCCGCTTTGGAAGTAGTTCCTCCACTGGGCATTTGTCGTTGAGAGTAGCGGCGCCTTCAGTTCTGAGAATTGCAATCCAGGTGGATGTAGCAGGGTGGGAAGAGGGTCTTGCTGATCTTGGCGCCTCGACCGAGTCCGCGTGCCGAGTATGATCCTAATTGGTTCAGTTTCATAACTAGCTACTGTTGCATATTGTGTGGGTAACTGCTGCGACTGTTGCTCAGTCTTGAGAGAAGTGATTGAGTGAGTAAGGAAGCTACTTTGGTTTTGGCAGATTAGGTCGGTTTTTGATGAGTGCTAAAGCCACACTTTTGGTCTTTTTTGCAGAGTACGGTCGCTGGAGGGCCAAGAGGCGTGATTCGGGGCTGCCCAGTTCGGTTTTGCTTGGTCTAACAGAGATTGGTGCAATTGTAGCCGGCTCCCAGAGCGGGAGAGCGATCTTTACCATCACGGCAGTGTACCCTAGAACAACTTCAGTCGGCTTCTTCAACAAGAGCTCGTCGCCTTAGGAGTGCTCCATCGGACTTCGGTAGTGCGTCGTCGGACTTCGGTAGTGTGTCTCCGGACTTCTACGTCATCGTCGCCCGTCAGACCTCTGCATCGTCTTCGCCATGCGCCTGCGTCCACTTGAGGCTTCTCGTCATCCTTGCTTCCGGCGTCTGCTCGTCTGCGCCGGCCAGCTTCTTCTCTGCATCGTCGTCAGCTTCTTCTCTGCATCCTCATCAATGCTACTATGGTCGCCCTCCATGGATCGATCTGCACGGCTCCGCCGGCTACACTGCACGGCTCCGCCCCCGTCTGTCTGCATACTATCGTCCCGCTCCGCATCCATCCTGCATCAAATGGGGCCCTCTGCATCGCCCCCAGCGTCTTCGTCCGTCGGCACTTCTCTTCGTCATCAGGGAACGGATCGCCAAAAGGTTGCTGTTTTTCCAAAGCTTATCGGTCCTTATGAATGTTGTCGTTGCCATGTGTTTTGAATCCATCTTCTGCAGTTTTGTACACCATCGTTAGAAACTTGGTCTTGTCGATCCTAGGTACGTTTCCAGATTTGACTGAAGGGAATCATTTATTCTATCATGCTTTGCATAAGCTTTCATGTTTCGTTGAAATATCTGAATCTTTCATTCGCTTGCTCTGTTGTGCTCGAAACCAGCTTTATTTGAGCTTAGCCGCTACGCCTACCTTTCTCAAGTTGGAGTTTTGAATGAAGTTCGTGTCGCCCAAAAATGTGGAAACTGAATGAGGTCCAGTTGAAAACAACCAGCATAGGAGTTTCTGAAACTTGTTGTGACGCTGGGCTAAATGTACTTAAGACAGTTGGACAATCCCGGCATAGACAAAGAATAGGAGCGCACATGTAAATCGTCATTATTTCTGCTCGCGAAAAGCTACAGTTCATGTAGCTATAGCTCGCTAGGTGTTGGCAACCATCTCTTCCGAAGTTCAACAAGTGGGAATCACTGGACTTGTTTTTGACTCTGCTCGGCTCTTGGTCCTGTAGTAAAAAGCCCAGTGCTCGCAGTGTGTTCTTGAATCGAGAGTGAGTCACTTGTGACACACCCCCGGCCTGGCCCCCTCTCATCCGCGACATACATCTGCATGCATCATTGACAGTTAACCGCGTCAACGAACCGGTGCACATTAACCGGCAGGTGGCCACTACTAGCTGGCCGTCATGGCATGCGCGTCACCGAGGCTGCATGGCAAAATTGTGCGGTGATTGTGCAGGGCATGATGCAATATAACTGACTAGGCGGTCACTTCAATACAAAGTCTTGCATGCATCGATCATTGATTTCATGGTGCGCGCCAAATCTTCTGTACACATGCAGTCTAGACCCGCATCAAGCCTGGCTCGGCCTAGATCCTATAGCCAACTATGCACAGCGCGACTCACATATTATAACAAGCGCTGGGGCCGGCCTGGCAACCATCGGCAGACGATATAGCCATGACTATGCAGGGCCTGACCGTCATATCCTGACAAGCGCTTGGGCCTAGGGCAAATGGTTGACCGCATTGAATATATAGCTCATGAGCTTTCAATTGAACGACTACGCTAAGATACACTTGATGTCACATTGGACACTTCAGGCTGTAGCAACTTGCAAGTGCTACCACAATATCGGATCTAGCCACACCTGGCCGGGCGATGTGAGAAGATTGTACATAGGCAATGACATAACACAGAGGCCAGACAAGGTGCTTCTTCTATCAATGTGTAACATGAGCAACTTGATGCACAAGCAACAGATACAGGTTCTCACAAGCAATGAGTTTACTAGACGATCTTGAGTTCTCATCAATCTAGGGTGCCTATAGCGAAGCAAGCGGGGTTGAGCGTGTCCCCACTTCCTTGAGCGAGTCGAGCACCACTTTCCCAAAGCAAAGACAAGCTACTTTCGACATTCTTTTCGCGCCTTTCCCATCTATCATGTATGTATCTAATCAGCCAGGTCTTCGTCGTCATCAGGCAGCGGCTGGTTGGCCGCGTTTTGAAGCTCCTCCTCGTACTTCTTCTGCTGTTCCAAGTCGATGGTAACCTCCGGGGGGAGCAGAGCCGGGGACTCCACGAAGTGCAGAGTCTGATCACTGTGAAATCCAGACAGGTCTTGTGAATAGCTTGAATAAGACATAAATACGCATGGGAGCTCTTGCACGTCTGGGCACACGGGGCTCACTGAGAAATGGTGATTAGCCCAACAGATACCAGTGATGGGACAATCAACATTCACGTCAGAAGCACACGAAAATTGTGAGTCCCTCAAGTACTTTGTAAGTCTCAAAGTCGAAACGGGACGTCCTCCATCAATCGACATGAGATTTCTTTTGCAGAAGACCATCCAACTGCCAGAGGCAACAGGTCAACGCAGATCAACACAGCTCCAACAAGGCTTTAGTCAATGTGTACCCAACACTGCCAGTTCTGCAGAAGAACACACGCGTTGGTGCAATCATCACACATTCTAAAATACACGAACGACTGGCAGACGTAGGAATTTGCAGCAGAAGAAGATGCAGAGGGGCCCCCTTACCCTGCGAGTTTCCTGGCGAGGTAGAGGTACGGCTTCTCGAAGTTGTAGTTGCTCTTGGCCGAGATCTCGTAGTACTGCAGGTTCTTCTTCCTGTGGAACGTCACCTGCTTCGCCTTCACCTGCCGGTTCTTCACGTCCACCTTGTTCCCGCACAGCACGATTGGGATGTTCTCGCAGACCCTGCGGGGACGGGTCAGATGACGTCAGCATTCGGGATTAATAAGAGCATGACCTTTGCTTGGACAACTCAACATTGGCTTGGCTAGAATCAGAGGGGACATGATCCAGATCGTCAAGTCGACCGAAGGGCCCGCACAAACATGCGAAGTGTAGCTGACACCCTGTGACGTATATATGATGTCAGCAAAAAGCGTGATGTCCGCTCTGGCAGCGTGCCCAGTCTCAGGCTGAATGATTCAAGGCCACCTCAGCAGTGCAAAGAACACCCAAAACCTCCTTGTACATCTTGCAGGGATGCTTAGGGGGACGGTTAAAATAACACAGCACAGAACCTGACTGGCACTCCTTGGAAAGGTTGCTTCCGATGAAAACCAAACAGAACGTTTTCAAGGGAGCAGGCAGGCGAGCAAGACATAAAATCATCCGCAACAGAGGGGTTTGATCCAAAGGCAAGCAGCATAGGTAGCCCAACTATTTCCGCTGTACTTTAACAGCAGTTCTTCAGATGAATGGATTCCCCTCTGCACTTCATGGAACACTCTTCCCATGATTGAGCAGTTGAAAGGTTACTCGTTGCAGGCTGTTCCAACAGGTAGCAAAGCTCAAAACCATCGATTCGAAAGAAAAGCTGGCAGCCGCAACTGTTGAAGTTGACTACCTAGAAGTGTGAGGTCTTTTCGTATATTTGAGAACAAGAGAGACCATACGCGGCTGCCTACACGAGAGGTATCCTTTTCACCTTGCCTCATCCCTGCCCAAGAATTGACCCCCTGATCTGATTACCATACCGTAACTGGTCAGACAGCCCGTTCCAGCCAAAGCACCAACGTTTGGCAAGTGTAAACATTTCCAACAGAGACAAGAGCTGACCAACAACCAAAAGGACACGGGAGAATCTGCAAAGGACAAACTTGAGAAGCGCTGAACGAATTCCGGTAGAAGTTTTTTGCAATGGAGCGCTCACCTGCAAAGATCCCGATGCCAGGTGGGGACGTTCTTGTAGGTCAGGCGGGAGGTGACATCAAACATGATAATCGCACACTGCCCATGGATACTGCAGGCACGGCGAACAAACACTGTCAGCTTGACAAAGCCTGCACTTCAACCCTTGAAAGCAGCGAGTATCTCTAAACTGGAAAAGTACTGCTTGGGTCACACGCGCAACATGCGCACAGTCTCTGAGGAAATCCCTGTTTCTCTACGCTCTCTACCTATTCCGGCAGTAAGTATCCTTGGTTCAAGTGAGGACCTCCGGGCAGTGCGAATGCAAACCCATCCACATCCCTGAATCACACGGCACAAGAGCTCGCTATTCTTTACACCGAAGTGTCCCCATCGATTGGACAACATCAGCCACGATTCAATCAGTGTTCCTTCCTTAAAAACCGAAACAGTTTAGTTGAATACTCACTAGTACCCATCTCTTAACCCGCCAAACTTTTCTTGGCCCGCCGTATCCCAGCAGTAGAACCGGATCTGGCCGCAGTTTGTGTAAAAATCGAGCGGGTGGACCTCGACACCGATTGTGGCTGCAGAAAAAGAATGGAAGAATCAGCATATGACAAAAGCAAGGGTACATCCTGTGGCCAAAGCCTTAACACCAGGGATTGGATTAACAAAAGAAGATGCGAGCATCTAAGGAAGATGGAATGGCCAAACTCCGATGCAATCGACCTGAAGCCTCAACTTCTCATGAGCACCTTGAGATTGTACCCGCACCACTTATGTCAGATCTATGCAGGCAGCAAAGTCAAAAAGGCAACAATTAAACCATTTCATGAATATTTGCGCGAACTTGCTGCAACATGACCCTGCGCAGGTGCACTGAAGGTGGTCATATGCACCAGAGCCAACCTGATGGCCAACAAATACAAGGCATCTTCTGAAAGCACAAAGTCCGAGCGACTTACGTTCGTATCTCTTCTCAAACTCCCCCGTCAAGTGGCGCTTGACAAAAGTGGTCTTTCCTGAACGAACAAAACAGAAAGTTGTCAGACAAATTACATATAATGGCCGATGCAGGATACTTTCAAATGTAAACTCCCTAAGCCCCAGACCCCAGATCTACATGGTCAAAAGCGTCTCATTGCTGGACACCAAGAAAATACCAAGCGCCATAGAAACTTTCAGCAACTTCCGTGAGGTCCCAATCTGATTGAAAACAGTGGAATTTAAACAGCTACCTTCCTCTATGCATTCTGAACGTGCTGCTAGCCTGTGCTATGCCCTGAGCTCAAGAGCAAACAGTGCTGCACATAGAAGGTGCTGACAACTTGCAGGTTAACCATAGAATTAGGCATCTGATAAAGCACAAAAGCAGAGAGCGACTTGCCTGTGCCTCCATCCCCTACAATGATGAGTTTGAAGCTGGGAACGTTTGCAGGAGTGGTCTGCCCAGCGAGCGCCTGTAGAACAAATTGCATGAGTATGTGTATGGTCGCCAGTGGCTTACGAGAAAATCTACTTTGCTTGCAACCACCATAACTAGGATGACTCCAACCGCGGCTTTCCAAAACTCAGCTTTCATGATACAGGCAAGGCAGCTACAGGCGTGAATGAAAGGCCTGCAATAGGGTTTCTGCTGCATCAGTGAGCCACTGCTAAAATCAACATCCAATCACATATGAAGTGAAGATAGCCTACTCAAGAAAAGAGTGCTACAAACAAGGCCTTCAGACCACAAAAGGGCATGTTTCTGTTGAGAAATCCCCAGATGCCTGCAGCTTGGGTCAAGCCTACGACCAATCTGCAATATTTTGGACCTTCATATTCACCACAAGCCACAGACCTCCCAACAAAAATCCTCGGAAAGGCACACAAGGCTTGCTTCGGCAATGAGAGAACCTTTCCTTTGACGGAAGGCCTTCTTCCGAGCGAACTGCTGAAGAGCACGTCGTAGAGAGCAGATCGACTGTGAGCAGTGCCAACGAGCATGCAGAGAGCTCAAGGGGAAACACACTAAAGTGCATGAAGCTTCCAGGCCAACCATTACCAGGAACCACAGACAGCTCAGCATCTGAACCTTCTCAAACTTCTGTTCAGCACCAGCTACTTGACTTGATGCAAAAAACAACGTTGACTTGGTGTAGCTTTCCATGACATGAAGGTGTCAAACCTAAGCAGGCCTCAACAACGGCCATTTACACATGCTGCATGCATCAAGAGACTCTACTATCATAAAGCTGAACAGCTGAAAAGCCGAGTACACAAAGCGAGTCCAAAGCACGAGGAATCAAAGCAGTGCGGCAGCCCCAACTTCAGTGGATAGGAAAGCATGCTATCGCAGGCTATGAATGTAAACTAGCAACCTATCCAGAGGTTATCACTAGTGGATTACTAGTGGTAACTGGCCTTGGGAAACCAAGATCTACTTTCTTAAGACTTGAGCTTCCCTAACAAGGATTGAAGTTCCCGTTCAGCAATCCACCCTCGTATTGCGGGTACAACAACCTTGCCTTGTGATAATTTTATTTTCTGTCACGCAAGCAGTACGCCTGGCAAACATCCCAACTCTAAAAGCTGTAAGCGAAGCTGAAAGCATGTCTCACCATGGTCAGATGCACGCAGACGAACAGATCTGCACTAAGGTCTCCGCACTTTAATTCTCAGCGCCTTCCTGAGAATCAAGGACACAGGCTTCCGACAGCGCCTTCGGACAAACAAAGTCTCCAGAGTAGCAGTCCAATCTGCCCCCTTTTTTTGCCGCTTGCTGCACCTCTTCAAGAAATCCAACTTGAATGTCTTGCTGCTTCTGAGGAGGGGAAATGCGCGGGAGTTTGTTTGACCATGCAGCAAAGACTCGGAAAAGCAGACCTGAACAAGCGAACTTGAAACATTCGAGCTCTTTCGAGAATTTGAAATCAAGTTAGGTACGAGACCGTCACGTGTCGAATCGGAACGCCTATCGTCGAAGAGGATCGAGGATAAATCATGATTGAAATGATAGGTATACAGGTTCGACGCCGAAACAACTCATGGAACGGTTAGGCAACCAGTGTACTCACTCTACCAGAGTCCAGAAATGGCGAGATGAAGACACGAGGGGTGGATGAAGATCCCCTCTGCAGGAAAGCTCTGAAAATTTGAAAATAGGAAAAGTCGTCTTGCGCGTTGCATTGTTTCTCTGTTCAACCCTTTGACAGCCTGCAGGCTGCAGCACACAGAACCTTGTTGAGCCTGTCCGAGCTTCCGCAGCAAGTGACAAAATAGCTCTCAATCAGGCATTTTACCACTTGCCAACTCCCTGTGCAAGTGCTTAAGTTACAGGGATTTGAAAAAGACGGGGCAAATCAGGATGCCACTCAAAACTTTGTGCCCCAAAAGAGAGTGCCAAATAATCATCAAGAAAAGGCACTTGCAAGTACGTCTGTGATCTTGTGACCAGCTTAAGTATCCGTTGCACTTGGAGGCATTGTAATTGGTGGTGCACTTTTGTCCATAACATCGTATCATTCTGAAGTCAGCATTTGCACTTAGAAAGCGGCGGCAAGTGCAATTCAACTTCTAGAGGTTGAACAACGGAGTTGACGACATAGCCTGGTAAGTTCCAACCAACGCACGGTCTTTCTTAGTTTGCTTGTTTTTTTGCTGCCACCTGTTCTTGATCAGCACTGAATGATGAGGATGCTCTCAGTTTTTCACTTCATGTACCGTATTTGAGTGACCTGAGAAGAGACTGGACTTCTGCTCATTGCTTGATAAAGTCAAGCATGATATCAGCCTTATTTTGGTGAAGATCAAACCCCACAAGGAGAGACCTGGAGTACCTCAAAATCCCCATTGCGACGTGGTGTAGATCAGACCGCTGTCCAAAGTAACCAATCTTTTAGTGCGTTTCTGGGTCAAACTTCGCAAAGAGCCACAACAGTGGTGCACTATATAAGTGGTGGTCCGACGTACTTCTTTAAATGTTGTTTCAATTGCCCCTTGATTTCAAAAGTGTTTTTATTTTTGCACACGATTGTCGCAAGGCTGCGACAATCGTGATTTTCTTTGTGATTTTCTTCGTGAACAATTCTTGCATTCTGGAGAAGCCAAGAATGCACACCACCGATGATTCAGCCTTCAAAAACAGACTGTGCTGATGTTGGCCAGACTGGAAGCAGAGAAGTGACAGGTTGCCGCTTTGATTGCACAAACTTCATTCCTGTTTTTGGAGACTTTCAGATTCCAAACCAGTTTGCTTAGTGCTAGGTTGCACGTTGCCTGCAGGTTGATCGACTTGATTTGCTCCTCTGTTGGGTGTCTGAAGTTCATTGAACACAGTCCTCTCTGAGTTGAAGGCTCTGTGCATATATCATCCCTAAAAAGTTTCGAGCTTCGCAGAGAACCTGCTTTAATCCCGTCTAATAGAAATGGTTCAATGGATCTCTTTTGATCTCCCAACAAGTTTCATCTGCAGGACAGGGTTGAGCAAAATCAACCAGGGGGCTTATTATGGTGGAATCCAGCCCCCCTGGTGCGGAGAAGTTGGCAGAGTTCTTCCAGAGCACAGACCGCCAGATCACACCAGAACTGACGGAGATACTGGAGGTAGTGGCGACCACCGGAAAAGTCTGGTAGGTGTTCTTAATTGGCATTGCAGTCTTTCGAAACCGGTTTCCATGCCTTTGGCCTTGATTTTCTGACAACTTGCAAAAGATACTAAAGATGTTAGTTTTTCATGGGAGTGCCATCCTGCATCTCGGATTCCATGGGTCTTTGTTTGGATCCTTGTATGGGTGCGGTTGTTATGAACGAAGCCCAAACAAGTGTCCAACTTGTGCCTTGGGTACCTGAAGTAGCGCAGACCTAGTTCGTATAGTAAAGCCTTTTCTGCCGAGTTGTGTTGACACTGAAAGCTACTTCGAGTACCTCTCTATGCCATTCAGAGGAGTTCCCAAAACCAGACATAGTCGAGCTCAAAGAAGGTCCAGCTTTACTCGGTCACAACAAGCACAGTTGAAAAAGACTCTGCGGCCCTTCGAGGACAATATTGAAGCTTCGTGCTTCAAGGGGGACTTGACCTGCAGAAAACCAAACAGCGCAAGTCGTTGCAATCCATTCAATATTTCATCGCGATCTCACGGGGCCTCTCCTCACCTGCAGGCATAACTGGGAGCCCCTGAGGGCGCTCCTTGCAGTGCGAATGGACTCCGTGCTGGAGACGTATAACAAGAGCAGGTTGGCAGTGGATGTTGGGCCTCCACGACCGCTCTTAGGCGGGGAATCGTTTGAGGGGCTGCAGGGACGCTTGCACGCACGTAAGTCCAAGCAGCAATTACTTGAGATTTGACGGCCTTTCTTTCGCTGCCTCTTGTGTCCTTTGGGCGTCCTTTCTAGATACAAGGGCTATATGTCTTTCTAGTGTTGCAATCGGTCACGGAAGGGAGATACATCCAAGTGAAGTTTAACCCGTCCGTCTCCTTTAAAATTACTTATTGCGACACGCTCAAGTTGCTTTGGTTCGCCTTCAGTGCTGAGTCCAGCTTTCGAGCTGACAAGTCGACGAGTTTTGTTGGTTCAACTTGTGTAGAGCTTTTTCAAAAGGTCTGGGATAAAAGCGCTCTGATGACATGAGAGCCAGTCCTCGGAAACTCTGTGCAGGCATCGCTTTCTTCATGTCTACTTGACCTTTCTTATCCAATCAAAGTTTGTCAAAGAACGTGGTTCTTCAATGCTTCTTTAAACATCCTCCTTCTCTGTGTCAGCTGGGAGTACTGAAACATCAGCTCGTTGTATTCAAAAAGGCGATGATGCTATCTGCGCTGGCAACTTCTTGCCAAGAAGTAGTCTCCAGTTGAACCCTATATGCTCTCTACCCAATCGGAGTCAGGCAATCGAAATTGCCTGCTAGTCCTCGATGTGTCCACTCAACAGTTTCCCGTTATCTTTCTGTGTGATTTACCCATCGGAAGAACAAGCACCACTCGAGCAGCACCGTTGAGCTAGATTCTGACGTTTCATCATGAGAAAACTCTTTGCTTCTTCGTTTCCAGCGTATGCTTGCCCTCATGTACTTTGATCGCTGGCAGCTCTTGACGATAGAGCTCGTTCACCGCTTGACCAGTCTGCGCACAGCGCATATCAGCTGGTCTGCTGGTCATCGTCTAGCTTTCCAGAGTGCTTCGGACATCTGACAACGTCTCAAAGTGCTGAATGTCAAGGGCCATCGTAATCCACTTCAACTCTTCATAAAGAGTCCACCACCCTCTTACTTCGACTTTCAGACCGATCGATTTGAGAGGCAGGGATGCACAGTAAGGATCACGGAACTCTCGCCTGGGTCTGAGCGTTGCGATGTCGGATACTAGCGGCTTCCGTAGATTTTCACGGGAGAGTTTTCAAGTCCATTCCAGCAAAGGCTTTGGTGTGGATCTGCACGGGGGGACTATCTTTGGCGAAGAGGAACGAAGGAACGTTTTTAGTCTGACAAATTTTGTTGATCTAAATTTCGTGGGTGATCTCTGAGAGAGCGCTTTGAGCTGCGCACAATGAGCCGCATTTCAGCAAGCATCGAAGTCCAAAGCGGTGACGTTGTTGTCGTGTGCTGCATTGCAAAGGATTCTTTGTTCCTAGGAACGCTTGGAAAGGTTGAAGATGTCCAAATTGCCATACCAGTGGCAGTCAAATAGGCTCGAGAAGCTTGGTATATGGAGAAGATCGGCGCACTTCGTGTCGCTGTCGAGGTCGGGGCTTCACAGAATGTGATGCGGACTTGAGGCCGAGCTTTTCCATGTGAGCTTTGAAACCAACAGCTGCTTGAGATCTTCAAGGGGGAATGATGTGGCATACGCATTCCGATGGTCTGACCAAAGACCTAGATGCTGACGCCGTGATCTTTCAAGTGGTTTTCGTTCTTGAAGTGCTGCCATCTCGACGGTTCCTTCTCTTCCCGCGCAAGAGAGTCTGCATGGTTGCTTGGTGCAAGCACACCATGGAAAGCGCAAAATGCGGCGTACTTGCTGCTTCTCTGGCTGCCGACATATCTGGCTGACTCCAAGGCAAGCTCCCGCCTGTATGAGGATTTTAATGCAAAAATGTACTCAAAAGTTTGAAACATACCACCCCTAAGCCCTCATTTTTGGCTGTGGCACAGCCACGGGCACACAGTTGTTGGCGTCCGTTCTGCCTCATCTTGAAGCCATTCAGAAACGATTTTTGGAAGGAGGATGTTCGGTCCTGGTGTATGTATGTTTTGCTGGCCTTTGACGATCATCTCTTACGATCGCCGCTGGAGTTGACCTCACTATCACGTTTCCTGCTAGCTTCTCATGAGAAGGGCTTAAAAGTGCACCGAACTTGAGGTGGTTGTCGCATCAACCGAACCTTTGTGCATCTTGATTGTCTTTCTGAGCCCGTCAATAAGATTTTGTTGCACGTCACTCGACCGAGCTGTCATGTCTCAGTTATATCGCCAGCTGAAATGCATCCCAACTGGAGGGCTTACTGATTTCGCGCTTGTTACCCCACCATAGGTGCGACATCTCTGCCTTAAAACGAAGGTTTTTCCTGTGCTAGTTGTTTATACTGGTTGTCTTGTTTGGAAGGCCATGAAGCGCATGTTACGCTTGATCGACCCATAGAAATTAGGCGACAGGAAGATGGTTTCTGAAGCCGGTCTGAGATAACAACCGGTTCTTTCAAATTCGAAGCCCCTTGCGAACTTCATTTCTTGGTTCTTGTGGCCCTTCTGAAGTGCTTTTCTGGTCGCCCTCGCTCGAGGCCGAGTGCGTCTTTCTGAGTTCTCATGACTGATCTTACTGCGATATTACTCCAACGGGAAACGGGCATCCCTTAGCAATCATTGCACTGATTGGGAGTGCAAGGAGTCCGATTTTGCTCGTACTTAAGCCGGTTGACTCTCAATGCTGACGGCGCTGCTGCAATCCCTAAACGGGCCTCGTTGTCTCTTCCATGTCAGAGGAAGAAGCCCAATCATTGGGCGCTCAGAGCCGTGCCTGAGCACAGCTGAAACACTCACAAGTTACTTTGCATTCTCAAACTTCGTACCCTGTTTTGGCTGATGGCCAAAGCACCATTTTGTACTGGAAGTTTTGGCATCATTTTCACCACACCAGCACAGCACCGGGAATTATATTCAGCACTCTTGTGCTGTCGATAGCTGTGCTGAAGCTTGGGTTGGAAAGCGCTCTTGGAGGGGTGTTGAGCTTGGAGTTTTTTGGCTGATCGACTCGTGGGGGCCATGACTTAGAGTGCTTCGGCGCCGTTGCTGAGGCACTTTCATTCCGAAGTCTTTGAGCCACGAATTTCCTTGTGAGTTGCGGAGGCGCGTCAATCGCATTCATTCCGCCGTTGTTTGGGGGCGTCCTTGAGCGGAAGCTCCTCAAGGCGAGCAAAGTTTTGAGGATCTGGCTGATCTGAAGTGATGTTACGACAGTTGATAGAAGAGCAGCAAGCCCCGATCCAGCGTCTGCAAGACAATCATATGTGCTGCAGTTTCTCCGATCATTGCTTGGAAGTTGAGTGGTATACGGTTGCATGTACGTCTGTACTTGTTGATGGGTTGAAGTCCGCACTTGATACCTGACTGAGCTACCGCTTGAGTCAAGCTTGCAAGCGCTACTTCGTTCTTTCTCTACTGCTTCTCAGCAGATCAAGCGCTGAACGGGGTAGAGTCCTATCGAGGCGGGTTCGAGATTGCAACAGATCATGACTTCGCTTGGAGTTTGAGTTTTCTATTGCAACCGTAGCACCTAGGTTAGGATTGTTCAGTAGCTTTATGCCTAGCAAGGTAGGCTACTTTGGCGCCCCCATGGGGTTTTGACTATTCCTCAGAAACGTCATTTGGCAGATTGACTATGGTTGGCTGACTACAACAATGAACGCTGGCAAAGATGCAAAACGAGAGCTGGCCCAAGAAGCCATACACGCTGCTCCCGTTCTGATGCCGAAGCTGCTAGTTTCGCGAGCGCACCGTGTTTGGTGGCGCTGTGACCAAACATATGGGCGAAGAATCTGTACATCGTTTAGACTTCGTTGAGTGACGTCCTTGGGTCATTCTTCCAGTGCTTGTGTCGATGAGAAACTCAACCAAGGTCGACAATGTTGTGGCCTGTATGCGACTTCAATTGGCCAGCTGCTTGGTGGAACGAGACAAATCCTGAGGTGCTTTCCGCTCGCTTCTATTTGTTCGTGCCGCTGCTTGTAGATGACTGTTGCTGCCTTCGATCTCAGTGAGATCAAATATCGATTTTAAAGGAGTGCAAACGACCCCCATTTAGACCAAACGGGAACGCAAACGGATAGCAAACCCGTATGACGCAAACAGATTCCAGTTCTCTTTGTTTCCGGGGAGCTCATTCCTACTGTCATGATCAGAGCGCAGTTCATCGTTTATGCTCAGAACCTCATTCTCGGTTATTTTTACGTTAGCATTCTGAACCCGACTTATTTTGATGACTTGCACCTCAATTCAAACGCCGCTCTTTCTTGGTTTCGTCATAACGTCTGCAAGATGTACAAAAAGCTCCTTTCAAAAGCATCTTGGATTTTGCACACTGAGTTGCTCTTCCTAATGTCACGATCTTGGAAGGCGATGAATCTATTCGTTCTGGCAAAGAGCCATAAATATGCAGAATGGAAGCCGCTATCGTATCGATCACATCCTCCACAAGATCCTCCGGTTTCTGGATATGCTTCGTCCATACGTCCCCATCTGAGTTCATTCCGCGCTCTTCATTCCCCCCTCCGGTACACAAATGCGATCACGGGCCTGCCATTTCAATATCAGCGGCTGACTATCGTACAAATCTGCAAGTTCAACGGTTGAGATGCTTGTTCGTGCTGATCGTACAAACCTGCAAGTTCAACGGCTGAGATGCGTGTTCAGTGCTGAGCGTGATTACGGCCCTAAAGCTACGGCTGACATCTGTCCCCATTCACACACTTAACGGCTGCGGTTTTGATGCCAGTGCTGGAGGCGATGACGGAGCCCCCGTTTACAATCTGACGGCTGGCGTTCGTCCATTTTGGCGTACCTAAGGGCTGAAATCTCATGGCAGTGCTGAAGCGAACGGGGCCCTTCATTCATCCTCCAACGGCTAAGGCTTGTCAACTTTGCAAAGGTAACGGCTGGGAGTTCCGGCGCATTGCTGGATGGATCACGAGCCCTTTGATAACTATCCAACGGCTGACATTCGTCTGTTTCTGCATATCTGACGGTTGAGACATCTCTTGCAGTGCTGGACGCGATCACGGGCCCTCCGTTCACCATCCAACGGCTGTGCGAAGTCCTGTTGTGGCCGCATGAGACGTACACGTCAATTGACAAACTCGCTTTGGCACTTGAAAAGGTGAGTCGCTTTCGCTGCTCTTTTTGTGTTTGACTAATCTGTCTGTAGGAGTTTGTTTTACTATATTTCGCTGACGTTTTGAGCCATGTCAATTGATGTTCGAGACAGCCGCTTTCTCAAGTAACGGTTTCGAAATTCGACACCTCTTCTGGCGCATATCTGCCCTTGAAGCTGCGAAAAGAGGCCGACTTACGACCTAAAAAGTTCTGCTCGACGCGATACAAGCTGAACGTGTGGTCTTCAAACGGGGCGGGCATCAACCTTTGGCTGTCGACACCAAATCGAACTGTGCCAAAGAAAGCGAGCTCAATTACTGACTTTGATCCTCGACTGCTCAGAAGACAGCTTGGTGTCCACTTTAACATAAGTCCGCACCTACCATCCGAACCCGAAGGAACCACTTTTTCGGACCGGGCCATAATCTGAAAAACAGCAACCTCAATCATCTTGCTGTGGTTGTGCTTTTCTGGACTCGTACAACGATTTGCGGAGTCAACAATGAACCCGCAAACCTTAAGCATAATCCCTACTGCGAAATTTCATTCCCGCTCCAAGCAGGGTTTACGATGCTTCTCTCGCTCTCCGCAGCTGCAATAGTCACCCACATGATGTAACGTTCCTCCGTTGCAATGCCCGGTCTGTTAGGTAGTTCGACCAATAAGTCACATGCAACCCCAGAAAGTGATCTTGACTGCAAGACTGCGTGTCCATTGCAAGCAGGACTTCCGCTCCCTCGCTCTCTGCAGCTGCTGATGGTTACCCAGACGATCCCCCTTTCTTCGGACGCGTACCCCCCCCTCCCGCTGCCCCCTCACCAGCCCCCCCCTCCGAGGAGACCCAACCCCCAACCCATGCAGCCCCGCCTTTCCTTTGGCCATCAACCGCACCCAGAAGCGAACCCCGACCAAATCGAAGAACACGAGCTGAATCTGCACCAAAACCACCAATTGCATCCGCACGGGGGAAATCACCGAGGGGCGGAAGCGGAAACCGGCGGAAAAGCGGTGCCGAGCTTCCTCGAGGCGGACGGTACGCACCGGGAGGGGCCGGGGGATCCCCCCGGGCACCTTGCAAAGTACTTTGACGGCGCGGGGGGCGAAAGGCGACCGGCGTTTCACGGCGCGAGTGGTCCGTTGCTCGAGATGGGGACGACCGAGGGGGCGAGGAAACGGAGCTTCGAGGAGAGTTTAGGACAGGGGGAGGTGTTCCCGGGCCAAGCGGAAGCGATCGAGGCGGTGCGCGAGGGGGGTTTCCACGTGGCCCATCGTGCGGTCCTCGGAGATGACGTCAGCCGGGCGCTAGCTGAGACGGGCTCGTTACCGAGCAACGCCCGCGAACCGAGCGACTTCGAAGCGCGTCCCACCGGCCCACATGGCAATGCTGTCGTCAGCATGGACGAGGAATCCCCCGTGGACGTCGTCGCGCTCCCCGCCGCTGATGTATTCGCGGCGTTGCCGGAGCCGTCGATAGAGCCGATGACACCGCCCGCAATAAAAGACGTCCTGCGGGTAAGGAGTACTGTAGAGATGGCAGTTGTGAATGTGGATAGAAGTAGTAAAGAAGGTCTCGTCCAGGAGGAAGTCTCACAACCCGTTGACTCGCATGAGGCTTCGGCAAATCGGGCAACGTCGGAAATGGATGGCACCATAGAGCATACGGGTAGTTGACTTTGACGGTGATCGGAAAGTTGAACCTTGGAGGAACGAGGGCACAATACTGTTATCCGGTTCTGCCTAAGATTTGCGGAGCATTAAGTCAATAATTTCATGAGCTGCGATTGTCACCTGAGACTCCCTGCAAAGTGTTCCAAGTTCGATCTCAAGCCAGGTTCAAACCGTCACTACTTATGCCATGGCATGCGCATCCGGTATTATGCATGCAATGAACCTGGTATCTAGTAGTACAAACGGTTCCGAAGTTCAACAATCAATTGGCGCTCCAATTCTTTGTACACTTGCCTAGGACAACAACGGCTTTGGTAACGATGCACTGAAGGGGCCCTGATCGATGCTCAAGTATGTTTCTTGAAGCATGCCATGGTATATACTTGAGCTTTTAATTGTAGGTCTATATGCATGGCCCACGTGACTGCGGCGGCCATGGCTGCCCGGTGGCAGCGGCGCAGTGGCTGACAGCGGCCGACTAGACGTGGCCGGACTAGACGTTTGCCATGCTCTTAGAGGCCCGCAACTCAGCTTGCATGATTGGAACACGTGCATGCATGGTTAGGCCGCGGGCCGCGGCCATCAATGACGGTAAGCTAGAGTCGTGCATGGCGGCTGGCGGCCTATTTGCCAGGCGGCTGCGCACTTCATTGTATTCTCGTAAGTGTTGAATGCTTGAGCACAACCGCGCTGGGATCGAAAGCTAATGATAGCTAGTTCGGGCCGGCGGCGCTTATTGTATATAGGTTAAGGCTATATAACTTGCAATGATGGAAGTTATATAAACGACCAACGTGAATGATGACTACCGGGTCACAGTATACGCACTCACTTGTATACACACAAGTTCACAACAGGCATGCATGGCAAAACTTAGCTGGCGGTCCGAGGCGCCGGGCGGGGCACGGCGTAGCCATGATCCCGGATACATAAGTTACAATTAAATTACTGTATAGTAAGAATGGGCCCACCGCGCTCAGAGTCACGTGAGACGGGAGGCTAGACTCACTGAGAGGCATCTTTCCACTGAAAGAGGGGGACACAGAGGGGAGAGTGTTTTTTTGTTTTTTTTTGAGTGTATAACCTGAGCATACCGAGCTCATCAGCTGGAGCATCGGGACTGCTATACGCGTGACCGCGAAGGAAACTTAGGAGAGGCGACGGCGTTTCGAGCGAGGACGGCGAATAAGCCATGCTGCCTCAAGCAGGGAAGAAAACGTGGGCCGAGTAACAAAAGCTGGGGGGATGGTGATAAGGGAATCGGGAGGGTCAGGTGGACGAGGTGGGGGTTTGGGAGGGGGCCGCTCCGATGGAACGTAGTCTTGGTGAAGATAAGGAGGGGGCCTGCGGGCACGTTTTGGTCTGATAGGGCGGGGTTGACTTGCTGAGACAGAAGCTGAAGGGTGCAGAAGAGAGCTCATAAGCAAAGAACAGGTACGTACGTTTTCGATCGGATCCAGTAGAAGGGCATCATAGTGGTTGCCGGAGTGCAAAAGGTGTGAAGCAACATATTGTATCGTTTGCGGGGAGAAATGCATACGATACCCATGTAGATGTGTGTGGGCGGACCAGATAAGCAAGGGACGATTGTGAATAACGGCAATAGCATGGGCTTCAAGGTCAGAACCCCAAGGGAGCGGATGACGGGAGGTCATTCAGTCATAATAGGCGGCCGCTGATGAAAAGCGGTGAACAGCGGAAGTAAGGGCATTGAGGGCGGCCGTGGCAGTAGGAGCATCCGGGAGTCGATGAATGTACTGAGCTTGATTTTCATACAGTGGCCACTGTGAAGCAACATAGGCGGCAGCTTGAACTCGAAGTGCGACATGATCACCAGCAGGTAGATCAAGTGCAACTGAAAGCGCATGGAATAAACAACTGCCATCACCTGGGACAGGTTGAATTGTAAAAGTAGCCGGAAAATCCGCAGCAGCGGATCGAAACGTCCGGACAACGGGAGACGGAGCCGGGGGCGGCTGAGGTGGTGATGGGTGCGGCTCAGGTAGGCGCCCAGCCGGGGTGCAAACGGTGGGTGATTGTTGATGGCTCGAAAGCGGCCTGAGATGTGTTGGAGAAGGCAAGAGGTTGGTATAAATGGGCACAGACGACTGAGGCCGAATGACACGAGGTAGGGGTACTGTGCACGGAGCAAATCCAGCAGCTGGGGAGGAAGAGAGCGAAGAGCGGCGAATAGCAACGGCCTCCGCGTATTGTACATAGTCATCGTCGGTCATTTGATCGAGAAGCTTGGGATTTGAAAATAAACGCATGCGCCGATCGCGAAAGAGTAAATGGCTGGAGCGACGATGATCGCAGCGAGCCAACCAGAGAGTGTGGAAACCAGGCAAGAGAGAGAGGTGAAGCTTCTTTCCGAGTTTGAGGGCTTGCCTTGAGCGGAAGGTACACGCAATGCTTGTTGATGATTGATCCGAAAAGACAATACTGAATCCAGCTCGTTAGCTGGTCTGGAGAGCGCTCCCGTCAGTATACGCAACTGGGTGGCGGAGGGAATGTTTGCGTACACGGCCCCAAAAGAGTGGAGTCTCAGAGCAATCTGGCGCAGGATGTTGTGTATGGGCCCGGAGAAGAACGTCCTCAAGAAAGATATTAATCAACGTTGCAAGTAAGCGGGCTTGGGGTTTTGTCAGACGCAATTGAGTGCAAAGTCCTGGGCGTAGAAAGTTCTTCCAAGCGGAAGAGTTCCGGTTGCTAAACTGGTTGATGACAATCGAAGTTGGAACAATTTTGCGCCCCTTTTCTGACTCCCAGGGTTCGATCGGGCCGGAAGGATGGTTGGGTGCAAAGTGGAGTAATGGAACACCAAAAAGTGGACAAATGTCTTCGAGAGAAGATACTTGGGTTGCGGAAAGAAGTTTAGGAAGAAGAGTACGGAGTGTGCGGGGTGAGAAACCGGACGAAATAAGAAGCGGACCATGATCATCAAGAATGGAAGGAATGATCCTGGAGAGGGAGCGCTCAGTAGCAGGGGGTAGGGACGCAACCTGTAAGTCCAAGCTGGCGGTTAGGTGCTGTAAAGTAGGGCGAATGGTGCGAAACAGCATTGGTAAGCGTGAGTCTTTGCGAGAAATAGTTAAGCCACGACTGCTGAAAGGGCAAACGCCGGAGAATGGAGAACTGTACCGAAGATGCGAGTAGGCGATGGTCGTGGTTGTGCGACACGGTTCGTCCACGGAGTCAAAAAGGGAAAGCAGAAAATCTGTGCGCACAGTACGTTGCAGATTTGTTACATTGAGGAGACCCTGACTAATGAGAAGATCTGTTGGTGTAGACGATGCGAGTTTGGCCAACGTCTTGACTGTATGTGCTAAGATGGTAGATGAATTTCTTCAAATACTTCTGGGGAAAAGTGATTAGGTACATACGATAGCGCAGGACAGAAGCAACATCGGAATTTGTGTAAAGAACGGCTTCCGAAAGAGATATATTGTGACGTTGTCGAGCAAGCAATTGTTGGCTAGCGCGATGAAGACGATCAACAACATTGATCATGGTACTGGTAGGTAAACGAAAGTGCCATGTTCACGTGGAAGCCAAGGTATTTGTAGGGTGTTGTGCGGGATAGAAGGGGTATTTGGCCCCAGCAGGTGAACAAGGGGGCCGGTCGATACAAAGGATTTGGATCATGGTACTAATAACCACACTTGAGAGGTGCAAGCGCCATATGGTAGTAGAGGAGGAAGGTTTCGAGCATTCCCAGAATCATGACGGGCCACCTGTGCATGGTGAGGTGCAATAGGGGCTAAATCGTCGGCATCACCATTGGCAGGAATTCGTGACTGTTGTCGTAAGGGCGACCAATGATGGTTGACGGTAAGATATCCAAGGTTTTCACTGCGAAGCCAGATGAAAAACATATTGAGAACAAGTGTGAACATGGTGGGGCTAAGGCAGTCGCCTTCGTGAACTCCCATTGTTTTAGCGTAAGGTGCAGAACGACCAGTTGGGCCTCGTGCCGTAATGGTAAAGTCGTTCTGAGTTTCAAGTATGAAGTCGAGGAAAGGACCATCCAAACCGATGCACTCAAGGGCGTCCGCAAATGCTCGGTAGGGGACGCTGGGAAAGGCCCCCTTGATATCAGTGTAAACCACGTGGATGGGTTCGTCATATTGGCGTGCGTGCGAGATAAGGTTGAATAAAACAGCGGCTTTGTGTGCAGCATGAACACCTTTGCGATTAGCACCTTGATTACAATTAAGACCAGCCGTGTCAGCAAGTGCTTGTTGGAGACGTCCGTTGAGAATGCCGGTGAGAATTTTGAAGAAGCAACTGAGAAGGCTAATACCACGGTAGTTGCGATATTCCAGGGGGTCGCCGGATTTGTGAATGAATATGAGAAGGGCGGCTTTCATTTCCTGAGGCAGTTTTTTGCGGCTGAGTAGACTGTTGAGAAAGCGAAGGAGTATGGATTGAATGTCTAGGTCGAGAAGATTCTTGTCGACGGTAGCACAGAAAGCGGAGGACGTTATATTGAACACCATCAAGGCCAGGAGAGCTACGGCTCGTATGTTGAAGGAAGTTCTGTAGATCAGAGCTTGAGATGGGATGT